TTTTTTTTGGATAAAACTCAGACCCCTATAGTGCTAGCGATGCTGATGGGAACAGACACCGCTAGCACCTGGGGACAGGCCCCATCTGTTGGTGGGGAGCATCACCTGCTGGAAAGCGGGTCCAGCGTCCCTTTGAGGATGATACATGTGTAGTACATCAGAAAAAAAGTAGGAGGATCCTGCCAGCATTGATTGCCCTGGACTCCAGGGGATTGACTGAGCAGGGGGGGAGCCTCTTCACCCTGATTCCGGCATCAGATTCTTGCTGCTACAAATTGGCTCTCCCTTCCCTAATCCCCACAGTCCCATTCTTGCCAAAAAAACTCTGCCTGAACTGTCCTATTGCTGTCGTTGATCACTCCACTCAGATGCGTAACACCAGCAGTCCTAAGTTGGTGAAACTCCGACGAAACAGTTTGTCACAGCCGCTCGTTCGTTGTCCTCTTCCTGCTAAACCGTAGGCAGAGAGGGAGAAGAGGACAACGAACGAGGGGCTGTGACGGGTTGCTTTGATATGCGTCAAACTGGCTGTTCAATGCCAGTTTGGCGCGGATTCAACACGCGTTAAATTATTTAATGTGGACCCCACGTTGAATCCAAATCCAGACACTCAGGCACTGGGTATGTCGTCAAACAGCCCAGAATCCCCAGATTAACCCACCACTGCACCCCGACCTCTTATGTCAAACTTCACTTTTGCAGGAGGCTGGCCCTGCTGAACCCTGGGGCATCCTCACCGATTCCTCAGAGAAGAGTGGCACCTACGAGGAAAAACTGTGGCTGCCAACCTGGACCATGGAAATGGTGACCCAACGGCAGACAACTTTGTGTGCATTAATTTTGCCTTTTTTCAAGTTTTTTGTACGTATGTTGTGAGAGCAGCGAAGTATGGCTTTGTCCAAAGTTTGTAGTTTTTTTCTCAGGATTCTGAGATTCGGTGTTCTATGAACATCACTTACAACGTACCTGGTCATTGTGGAAGACAAAAAGCGAGGTCACTATGCCAAATTCCATGAAACACTACGCCAATAAGAAGTTTGAAAAAGATCTCAGAACACTGTATGTAACCTCCCCCCTTACCCACCTCCCCTCCCAGCTGACAGACTCCCTTGAAACTGCCTGCTGCCTCTTCAGCTCCCGAGGAACTGTCGAATTGGAAGCAGATGCTCTAGCAGCCAACCCCTACCTAGTCCCCCCCAAACCGCTGAAGATCTACCATGGAGAGAGGGTGCGGGGGAAAGGGCTCGCTGAAATCTGAGGGATGTTGCAGCTGAATTGACCTGTCGGCCTTCGACCATTCATGAAAACTCTAGGCTACCAGAGTGACTCAGGTCCACTTGTGATGCCCAAAACTTCACGCCCAACGCGACTTCCTGATCGGAGTGGGATGTGGGCCTGGAAGTGCGAAAAGGGGTGTGCCAAGGATTTTTGGGAAAGTGGGGTGGAGTCCCAGGTCGGAACTGAGATCTCCTGTGGCAAAGTTTCAGGGGCATAGATGCAATAGGGCCAAGGGGGCGAGTTACTTCCGGTCTGTTGGCGTTCGATGTCGTGCAGCATAAGGCAGATGGCATGCGCGGTGCATTCAAGGCCGTCTGATCTGTCTGTTTTGGGGGCGGCGGTTCAGGGAGAGGCCCACCCGGGATAGTAGTGTTCCCGATGAGTCGGACCTTTGGGTGCAGACACGTGGCGTCTGTCGTCTCGCGTTTGGGTTAGGCCCTCTAGTTTCCAGGGCTCGTCGGTTGCCGCGTCGCTGGCAATTTCCGCAAGGCGTGCGGGGCGAGTACGGTGCAATGGAATTCCACGGAACCACCGTGAGTTGGTGATATGGGAGGAGGAGACGGAAGGGAGGGAAGTTGGTAGAGATAACGACCAAGCCCGGGGATATGAAGTATTGCGTGTTGTCCGAAGTGGGAAAATCGGGACACCTCGGATCACTGGTTGTGGCACAGTGAAACTCCCTGGGGCACAATCGATTCTCGGTTAGGCAGGGGAATAATTTCGGGTATCTTTGCCTAATACACTCTCTCACCCAAGGGTCTAAGTGCTCCGAGTCCCACGAGCTCGGCATCTTATCATTGCAGTGTGATGGAATTATTCCGCACGCGTCTAACCGGCAAGGGGATTTTCCGATGTGATATCGGAAACTCCTATCCGTTTAGGTGGTGGGGGGAAGGAAAATTCCCGCCTATCCGATATCAAGGGTGTCAAGTTCGTCAATGGTCGCGAATCGGCACGCGTGGATACGTGTAGGCTGCGCAGATCAGATCGCGCTTACACGCATCCCCGCGAGGTATTCGTTTGTTTCTGGTCAAACCACTACCCCATCATCTAATCACTTTGTGATCCCACACGCAATCGTTCCTGACCATGCAAGGTGCTATTACAAATCAGGCATCCCAGCAACAACAGTGACTCAAAAGGAATAAACAGCAATGGAAGCAGTAATGATGACTACACAGAAGTTTCTACTATGCTGGTGAGTGTATTAAAATGACAAGCGACGACAAGGACCAGACAAAAGAAAAGCAACAAACATGACATTCGTCCATCCATTCATTCGACAAAACACACAACAAACGAGATCGATCGCAAAATGAGTGCGGCCTGAAACCGAGACAAGGATTCCGAAAGCAAAAGAAAACGGGCGGGTCGCCCTAAGCATCAAAATTTATATACAAAAGCAAAGAGGGAGAAAAGACAAAGAAAACTGCAAATCCACGTCCATCAACCTCAGCTCCCTCTTCCTCTTTCTATCTCTCTGATGCGGACAGTCCGTCGCCACGCACCAACCCACGAAGTCGTCATCCCGCTTGGTCCTCCTGCACCCGTCAGGTTCGCCCGCACGCTACAGTCCGTCGTAGCCCCACGCGTCAACCCCACGCATTCGGCACCAGCTCGTCGGGTCACCCGACTCCCACTTCAACTCACCTCTTACTTCGCTCGTGAGCCGACCCTCACTGATCGTGCTACCCGAGCTTCCACTAGCTGGTTAAGAGTGCTATCTAATCGCGCAACCGGAATTTATAGTGTTCATGCATGCGCGAAGAACACGGAATTGCAAGGACTTAGAAAGGAGATTAGGAGAGGGAGCGCCTACGTTCTGCATGGCCAGACCGCGGCGTGGGGGACGAAGCCACTCTCCACGCAGCGCTCCGAGCATGCAGGCCGCGGGGCTAACTAGGCGCAACAAAAGGGGAAGAGAGAGCGGGAAAGACGAAGATCAAGAAGAAAGATACAGTTACAATGGCGCCCGCCCAAAAATTACAGCTACTTGCAAGATTAAGGGCGCCGACTAATCAGAGCTCCGTTGCAGCCGCAAAAAAGAAGCGCGCAAGCAAGACGACGCGCGGCAAAAGAAATCCTGAATTCCTAAATTCCTAAATTCCTGAATTCCTAGCTCATGCAAAAAAAAGCATAAATTCCGAAAAGAAAATCCAAAGTTCCGAGAGTCATCGAGGCTCGACAAGATTTGAAAAAGAAATTCAAAAAGAACGAAGCAAAATTCTCGCGCGACCTTCGCGCCTAAAACCCGACAGCAAAACAAGAAAGAAGCGATGTCAAACATTATTATTCGTGCCTTTGTCGGCGCGATAGCCACTCAATCGGTCCTCTCGGGACTTACCCGGCCCTGAACCTAGCCATCCAAAAAGAAGCGACGAAAGAGAAAAGACGAAAAAGCGAGGACACTAATGCAATTTCCCTTCGATCCCGATTTCCCTTAATTGGCCCAACCTTCCCATCTTAGGACCCCTCATTGTCATCGCGCAGAACAGAAATTGGTTCGTCACATATGTGACGCCCAGGGGGTTCCAATCTTAAGCAAGCTCCTGCTTGCTTGAACCATGACACGTGTCGATCTCTCTAATCGATCGACACGCGGAGCTTTCTACATTGCCACCAACCGTGCGAAGGAGTGTGGAAGTCATTCAGGGTGGCACACGTGGCTCTATCCTATAATTTTCCTCGTGATGGGCTTTCTTCAGTCTGAGGAGAGGACCGTGTGTGCCGTCGCTGTGGCACGTGCCAATCAACCAGGCATCAATGTCCTAAGGGGAGGGGAAAGGGAAGACGATACATGGGGGCATGGCGAGGGGGTGGGTTAGTCGGGAGTGGAGGTAGGAAGCGTTCCAATCCCGCGACTGTCTCTGGAAGCTCCTGATATATCGGACGATCCGGTGGAAGCGCGAGAATCGATTACCACTACGAGGGAGGGAGGCGAGATAGTCGGGGTAAAGGGTGATGAAAGTTCGGAGAAGCGCCGTGCGGAAATGATTGTTGTTTTCGCACGTGGGGATACTCCCCGTGATCGTGCAATAAACCTCGACCATGTTGTGGCCTCGGCACGCGGCGCTGAAGAGAAGGGCGTAAAGGCAGAAGACAAGGGTGGCACACCGGGTAGAAGGATGGGGATGAACGGTGACAGCAAGACCGGTGGCGTAGAAAAACCGGAAAGTGTCGATTGGGAAGGGATTGTTGGGGAAGGTGATGCGGGTAGTGATCTGGCGGAGGGTGAGGTGGTCAAGGGGACGACGGGATAAGCACCGGGGACGAAGCCCAATGCCTCGCATCGGTACGAGCTCGAACCGGGGGACGGGCTGAGGTGGAGGGGGAGGGGGATCTGCTTCGCCGTCGCCTGACCGGTGCGCTCGAAGTCTCGGCAGCAAGGTCCCCATCTTTTGGCTTAGGCGGCTCCGGATCCTTAGCTGGGTCGTTCGAGATTGGCAGATCCGCCTCACTTGCGTGATCCAGCTGCCGCTTGCCGGCGGCGATTTCTTCTCTCTTCCGCACCGCCTCGGGATCCTCCTCCGCGCCTTCCACGCGCCGCCTCTTCTCCCAGGGTTTCCCACTCAGATTCCTCTTCTTCCACCTCTTCTTCTTCCTCGTCGTCACTATGCTCGCTGTAACTTCCCTCATTCGGAGCTTCGTCTTTTTCTTCGCTTCCCTCCTCATTTTCTTCCTCCTCCTCCTCTAGTGCTATCACTTCGTCTTCAGAGGCCGTTCGAGGCTGAAAGAAGGCGAGGTCGATTATCCCCCGGGGATCCAGATATGGTTGATGCGATGGCGGGTTGTTGTTGCCTGCTAACTCCTCGAGGCAAGCTGACCACTGCAGGTAGGGTGTTAGAGTTCGTGAAGAGACGTGCGGGACCGGGCTCTCGTCGCTCTGCGAAATGATATCGAGAGGGAGATCGTCAACCAGCTGCGTGAGGGGAATCGTCAGTTCCTGTACGATCTGTTGCCGATAGTCGGGACGCACTGATCCGAATAAAAATCCGAGAAGGTCTCCTTCCACCTCCGTCCTCCACGCTTGGATAATTAACAGCTCCATGTATGCGACCCAAGCGCGGTGCTCTACGTCCCTCGTCCACGTCAGCTGCACTCCGACCAGACACACCGAAAGATCGACGAAATTTTTGCACCACCGTTCCCACTGTCTTCGATCGAGAAGCGGAACGGCAAGTGGTTCCAGACGAAAGGAGAGGCGGAGGCAAAGGTCAGACTGCCAAAAGGTAGGGAAAAGAGAGGGGAGAGCGAAGGTAGAGAGTCGGGATCAGTTCATTCGGGACGCTGGAAAGGGACGAGCTCAGGAAGCACCACCGTGGGCTCGTGTCGAGACGTCCGAAGCCCTCCAACGTCGATGCTGTCCACGGGGACAAGATTATCGCCGCGGCGCGTAAGCCACTGATTCCATTCTATTGCCAACTGCTGTCCCCACTCTCTTAGCGACGTCCAGATGGGCGTGTGTCGCAGAGGGCTGATCGCGCTAATGTCACCGCTGAAGATGACGACGGTGGATACGTGGCTAACTCCTGGTGTTGACAGTCGTCGGACCGCTGTCGCCTCTGTCAGTACGATCGCTTGATGATGGCCGGTGACTCGGAACTCTGCCGCTGTGTATACCCCGGTAGTGCTGAAGAACTGCGCGAGCCGTAGGAGGTCCAAACCGAATCGCGGATGATGAACTTGCCGTATTACCGAGATGTCGCCACGTGGCGCCAGCATGTGATCGCCGAGAGCCCGCTCAGTGAGAAAACTCATGGCAATGGTTATGAGGATGGAGTAAGAGAAGCAGGAGGGGATGAGAGCGATAAGGAGTCGTCTTCCTCTTCCGTAGCGAAGGAGGAAGCAGACATAGCTGGAGATGGAGAGGAAGGGAAAAAACGTAGATAGGACACGTGGCGTACGATCGGTCAAGCCGACCGGCTTCCCGAGACCTCCGGCACGAGGTGCACGGTGCTCACTCAGTTCGGGCCGAGTTCGATCACGCGGAATCGCCCGAAGAATCGTGGCGCTATCTTCCCTTGATGAGCACATTTCCTCACCTGCACCAGGTCCTCTAATTTATACTGGGGCCGTGGTCCTGCATTCCCATTTCGGGCCTCATAGCTACGAACCTGTCGGTCGTGGGCCAACTCAGTCATTTTTTGGCGCTTTCGGGCTAATCGGGGAAGGGACCGTTCCATCAGTTCCAGGTGCCGCTTGGCCTTGTCCCGAACCGTGCCTTTTGTGGGCCGCCGGTTCAATGAAGATTCATCGGGGAGGCTCGGTATTGAAACACAAGCTACGCTATTGGTTCGTAATTGGAAGGGGCTAAGGCCCGTCGATTCGTGAGGTGTTCCCCAATGGACCGCCAAGATGTGATCTACGATATCGGGCCAAGGCCTCGGATCTCGTGTCGCGATGTTTCGTCACAGTGCTGTTTTATCACCCGATTTGCGTTTTCGACCAGGCCGTTAGATTGTGACACATGGGGTGCCGTGTTCCAAATAGCGACGCCATGTACGACCAAATTCCTTAAAACTTCCCCGCTAAACTTTACCCCATTGTCGGTCAGGATTTCCTCTGTGTCCTGGTGCATCCCCAGAAACCAGTTGACATATCGCGCAATTTCGGCCGCCTGTCGCGTACGACACGGATACACCTCGATCCATTTCGAAAAGTGGTCCACAAATACTAGTAGGATTGAAGACTCACAGCTATTCTGTCCAGGGGGCACCACAATATCGGTAGTATCCATGCTAACTCTTTGAAAAGGTTGTTCACCTACCGTCGGTACTATCGATCTTGGCGGCTGGATTGGCGCCTTGTCAGTAGCGCAGACCTGGCAATTCGTGACGATGAATTTCACATCATCGCGAATATTTGACCAATACCACTTTTTCTTGTCGATTGCCGCTTCCGTGATCCGTACGGCAAAATGGGTTGTCGTTTCCTCATGAGCTATCTTAACCCAGACATATCTCATGAACGGGTGCGGCACTACCATCCAAATCCCACTACCATCCGTCTTTCTTTTTTGTAACCGGCCCTTATTCCAACGATAATCCCGGACTCTTTCATTGGCCCTCCTCCTATCTTCCTTAGTGAATTCCTGGAGGGGGGTTTCCTACCAAGGTGGCAATTAGAGCGATGTTCGTTCATACCTCGACCCTTCTAAACTTCCGGGTCTTTTCCAACCCTTCTGACGTGGCGTCAAGAAATCGAGCTTCAGTCGGGATCTTATCAGTCCGACACAAGGGACACAACCAAGGCTTATTGCCATTTCTGTACTGGATGCACGAGCCATGGGCTCGTGCGACACACTGTCGACAATCTATCCATTTTGCATACCCTTCCCCACTAGGACGCATTGAGATCGAGTAGACGCGCGAGATCGCTTCACAAAAATAACAAAATTTGTCGGGTAGGGAGATAAAAGATGAAGATGAGAGGGGAGAGAGAGGAGTTGTAGGATTACCTCCATCACCCATTGCGAATCGCCTGCTTCTTGCCACATGGAAGGACCGCCAGTTGTTCATATTTGGGTCCGTTTGTTGACTCCAGTTCCTTCCACGGAATGATTTCTTCGCCCTTCGGTATCTTAGCGGGGCGATGCAGACGTGTCAACCCATCCGCGTTGCCGTGCCTTTCTGTCCTTCGGTGGATGATGTCGAAATCGTATTCCTGTAGGCGCACCCCCCACCGTCCAATCGTACTCGTGTAATTGGTGAGCTTCTTGAGAGCCAATAATGACTCGTGATCGGTTACAAGGAGGAACTTTTGTCCGTACAAGTACGGATGAAAGTGCTGAATTCCCCAGACTACAGCATAGCATTCACCTTGTGGGGCCGAGTCATTTCTTTGTTCGTCTGGCACCGCACGAGACGCGTACTCGATGACGTGCTCTCGACTGTCACTCCCTTTCTGCGCTAAAATAGCGGAAATCGCATCTGGCTGTCAGTCCGTGATGAGAATGAACTGCTTCGTAGCGTCCGGCCGGATCAAAATAGATGTCGTCATCAGAGCGCCTTTGAGGGTGGCGAAGGCCTGTTCGCACTCTGCATCCCAACTGAGGGTCTGGTCCTTTCGCAGCAGATTCGTCAGAGGTCGCGCAATCGCAGCGAAACCCTTGATAAAACGACGGTAGTACGATGTCAGTCCAAGGAAAGTTCGAACATGCGTCACTGACATGGGGACAGGAGCATCTTTCACCGCTGCGACTTTCCTTGAATCTGGTCGCAGTCCTCCACGTGTCACCACGTAACCCAAGAACGAAATTTCCGAAAGGAAAAACTCGCTCTTTTCGAGCGCAATCTTGAACCCAACATCTCTTAGAGCTCCTAACGTCCACTCGATGTGTTGTGCATGCCCGTGATAGGTCTCCGAGTAGACGAGGATGTCGTCCATGTACACAATGACGCAGAAGTTAATCATCCCCTGGATGAGTCGTGTCTTGTTGACGAGTTCAGGAATGTTACGTTCATCGCCCGCTGAAACATGGCAGGCGCGTTGCAAATACTCATCGGACATCGAATTCACTGCCACGTGCCTTCAAACAATACAAAGGCCGTTTTCGGTTGATCTTCCTCCTTAACCAGAATGTGATGGAAGCCGTGACGAATATCAAATTTACTAAAATAATTAGCACAACCAATCGCATTCATCAAATCATCAATCCTGGGAAAGGGGTACACATCTTTAATCGTGATGTCACTCAGCTTGCGATAATCAATGCATATGCGAATCGAACCATTCTTTTTCGACACTAATACTACCGGGAACGACCATGGTCCGGTGGCGGGTTCGATCCAACCGTTAGCTTCAAATTCTCGAATCCGCTCAAGGGTCGTTTTTCGTTTTACCAACGAGTATCTGTAGGGCTTACAGTGAATCGGGGGATGGTTTCCCGTTTGGATTTCGTGTTGTATCACTAACGACAGTCCAATTTCTGTGTCCGTCAGACTAATCGCTCCCTTGTATTCTTTTAAAATTTCCGCGATTAAATGATAGATTTCATCAGGTACGTATTGGGGCATGTGCAACTCGTACAACTCATTCCATATTCGTACATCGATGTGTTTCGTACTTACTCGTTTAGCACTTTCGGGTGGAGGCACGAAAATAAACGAGTTGTTCGACCGCCAGGAGAATACCGTGACCATCATTTGTGCATCCTCTTCTCGAATGGCCACGTGTTCTTCCGGTGTTATCCCGTCTCGAATGTCCTGCCAAGGCACTGGTTTCGTCGCTACTTTAATCCCAAGTCCGGTTTCGAGGCGCTCGGGGGGTTCCAAAGAATTGGTCTCCGCCCCTAAGCGTATCAATCGTATCTCTTTTGCAGGCGTCAAGGAAGATCGTGGGAGATTTTTGATGTCGCAATATTGCCTTTTGTCATTGTATCGTGTAAGTAGAGGGAAGATACCTTCGTACAAGGTTCGAGGGGGTTCCAAAGAATCGACCATCCTCAAAATCTGCACGAGGGGTTCACCCATAATCATGGCTTGTGTTCTCTGTAGACTCTGATCAGCCAGGCTTAGCGATCTTGTGTTCGCTCGTTGCATAGGGTAATAGGTACGCTGTTGTGCCATCTCCAGGATCACTGGATTGTCCTCGTCACTGCTGTCCGTGTCTTTTGACGGTTGCCCGTCATCTGCGAAATTATCCCAGGTGATCACGCGGAGAGTTCCCACCATCATGGGGGAGACTCGCGGAGTCACGTTAGTGGTGGTACGAAGGGTTAATCTCATCGGTACAACATACAGTTTTCCTCCTGTATTTCGGAGGACAATCAATCGTCTCTCGAAATCCAGATTGGCTCTCAAGGCCACAAGAGCGGGAAGGCCAAAAAGGACGTCGTAAGTGTTTACGTCTAAGACTACGACATCTCCCAAAGCATGTGCCTTCCCTAATCGAAAAGCAACATTGGTCATTCGTCCCACCGTTTTGATCTTCTCCTCATCTGCTGAAACGAGCTGATCTTTTTCCGTAAGCATGATTAGATCGTTCTTCCTTCCTGCCCTTTCAACTACCCGTAACGAGATAGTCAAAGCATTATAAGGGATTCCCCATATCTCGATATCACATTCTGCAGATTTCCGTGGGATTGGTTTAATCCGTAGGAAGTGATCATCTTTCTGGATTAATCCCAGTCGTATCGGGTCTGAAGTTTCTGCTGCATTTTCATCTGGCGTGGGATTTTTCGTTTTTGTGCTCGCTGTTCAGGCAAGGGCGAATCGTTTTCGATTTGCCTTGCAGTGTTGCAACATTCGTTCGTTAGCTTGTTCCGATATCAAGAGTAGGTGACCGATCGGAAGAGGAATCCGACGGTCCAAGGCTCGAACGATGTTTAGAATATCGATCTCCCCTGTGACGAAGGTGGGTCCTCCCGACTCCATTTCTCCTGGAGAAGGTCGCCATTCCGCCACTTCTTTTTGTTCTGGCGCGGGTCTAATCGTTCTAATCATCCCAAGCCCTGGGTAGCCAAGTGTTACGTACTGATCTAACGAGATTAATTCAGCAGCTTCCTCCATCGTAGCTAATGTGCTTCCGCCTCCTTCCATTTCTTTCATCAATGCCCCTACTCGTCCGGGTCTGTTGGCGATCGGGGCCGTTGCTACCGGTGCGGCTCCGACTCGTTGCTGCGGGGGTCGATGAGGGCAATCTCAGGCTATATGCCCTGGTTGGTGACACGTGTAACAGACGTTCAAATTGTCCGGGATCCCTGCGGGAGGGGGTGCCAGAGCCAATCCTTGTTGGATCAGGGCGGCACGCACCGCTATTGGTCGCATCGACCTCATCATCGCCTCTATTCGAGCATTGTGTTCCCGTTGTTCCTTTTTACTTTCCTGAATCAGAGTAACCAATGTCTTGGTTAGTTCTAATAGAGCGGAAGACTCATTTGGTCGTGCAGGGGTTTCGATTGGTGGCGGGGGTGTTGTCATTACAGGCACGGGCACGCTCGTAATCATACTCGGGACCGGTCGTTTGGGACTAGTCTGTTCCAGATAGGTGACAGGGTCCGTTACAAACCCCATGTTTTCAAATTTGTTCTGCGGTGCAGCCAACTCCGCTTTAGCTCTCGCTAGTTCTAACGAGGCACCTTTCCTAGGATAATCTTCTCCCTCTAGGAAACTCGCAGTGAACTTTCGTTCCATTTCTTCTGCGGCTGCCATGATCTGTTGCAGCGTGTGATTGATGGGGGAGAACTGTTTTCACAGTTTCGCCCTCATCGTTCGGCTGCGAAGTTCATCGATGAACAAATCTCTGCCTACTTGTTCGCCTCGTTCCGTTTTTACAAACATCCTATAGAATCGGTTTCGATACTCGGTGACAGACTCGAGGGGTTTTTGAACTCGATCTTTTATCATAAAAAGAGCCTGTTCTGGGTGGATGTAATCAAATCGGTTTAGGAAAGCTCGCTCGAATGTCAGGAGATCGACCCATACATAGGTGCTAAACCAGTGATGGGCATCTCCTCCCAGTCATGCGGGGATATTCACCTATGCCTCGTTATCATCATATTGTTGAGCCCGAAGTGTGGCTAGCCATGCTCCAGCGAGATGATGTGCAGGATCGAACAGATAAAGATCGGGTGGCGTCATGGGAGCCTGTGCTCGTGGTACGGGTTGATTAGGATTTTGTTGGGGATTCGGGTTCTGTTGGGGGTTCTGTTGATTAGCATTCATGTTGACCGTTCGTCGAGCCGCAGACCGGCTTCTAGTGACAACGGGATCGCTTCGATGCGCATTCCAAGGTCGAGGTCGTCACCTGTTAGCCAGATCGCCCAGCTATGAGTCCTAGAACCCTGCCACGTGTCGGGCTCCGATACCAACCTCACGCCCAACGTGAGTTCCTGATCCGAGTGGGATGTGGGCCTGGAAGTGCGAAAAGGGGTGTGCCAAGGATTTTTCGGAAAGTGGGGGTGGAGTCCCAGGTCGGAACTGAGATCTCCTGTGGCAAAGTTTCAGGGGCATAGATGCAATAGGGCTAAGGGGGCGAGTTACTTTCGGTTTGTTGGCGTTCGATGTCGTGCAGCATAAGGCAGATGGCATGCGCGGTGCATTCAAGGTCGTCTGATCCGTCTGTTTTGGGGGTGGCGGTTCGGGGAGAGGCCCCCCCGGGATAGTATGAGTCGGACCTTTGGGTGCAGACACGTGGCGTCTGCCGTCTCGCGTTTGGGTTAGGCCCTCTGGTTTCCGGGGCTCGTCGGTTGTCGCGTCGCCGACAATTTCCGCAAGGCGTGCGGGGCCAGTACGGGGCGATGGAATCCCACGGAACCACCGTGAGTTGGTGATACGGGAGAAGGAGACGGAAGGGAGGGAAGTTGGTAGAGATAACGACCAAGCCGGGGGATATGAAGTATTGTGTGTTGTCCGAAGTGGGAAAATCGGGGCACCTCGGATCGCTGGTTGTGGCAAAGTGAAACTCCCTGGGGCACAATCGATTCTCGGTTAGGCAGGGGAATTCCGGGTATCTTTGCCTAATACACTCTCTCACCCAAAGGTCGAAATGCTCTGAGTCCCAGGAGCTCGGCATCTTATCATTGCAGTGTGATGGAATTCTTCCGCACGCGTCTAACCGGCAAGGGGATTTTCCGATGTGATATCGAAAACTCCTATCCGTTTAGGTGCGTGGGGAAAGGAAAATTCCCGCCTATCCGATATCAAGGGTGTCAAGTTCGTCAATGGTCGCGAATCGGCGCGCATGGATACGTGTAGGCTGCGCAGATCAGATCGCGCTCACACGCATCCCTACGAGGTATTCGTTTGTTTCTAGTCAAACCACTACCCCATCATCTAATCACTCTGTGATCCCGCACACAATCGTTCCTGAGCATGCAAGGTGCTATTACACATCAAGCATCGCAGTAACTGGCTCAAAAAGAATAAACAGCAATGGAAGCAGTAATGACGACTACACAGAAATTTCTACTATGCTGGTGAGTGTATTAAAATGACAAGCGAAGGCAAGGACCAGACAAAAGAAAAGCAACAAACATGACATTCGTCCATCCATTCATTCAACAAAACACACAACAAACGAGATCGAGATCAATCGCAAAATGAGTGCGGCCTGAAACCGAGACAAGGATTCCGAAAGCAAAAGAAAACGAGCGGGTCGCCCTGAGCCTTTATCAAAATTTATATACAAAAGCAAAGAGGGAGAAAAGACAAAGAAAACTGCAAATCCACATCCATCAACCTCAGCTCCCTCTTCCTCTCTCTCTCTCTCCGATGCGGACAGTCCGTCACCACGCACCAACCCACAAAGTCGTCACCCCGCTTAGTCCTCCTGCACCCGTCAGGTTCGCCCGCGCGCTACAGTCCGTTGTAGCCCTGCGCGTCAACCCCGCACATTCGGCACCAGCTTGTCGGGTCGCCCGACTCCCACTTCAACTCACCTCTTACTTCGCTCGTGAGCCGACCCTCACTGATCGCGCTACCCCGAGCTTCCAATTGCTGGTTAAGAGAGCTATCTAATCGCGCAACCGGAATTTATAACGTTCATGCATGCGTGAAGAACACGGAATTGCAAGGACTTAGAAAGGAGATTAGGAGAGGGAGCGCCTACGTTCTGCATGGCCAGACCGCGGCGTGGGGGACGTAGCCACTCTCCACGCATCGCTCCGAGCATGCAGGTCACGGGGCTAACTAGGCGCAGCAAAAGGGGAAGAGAGAGCGGGAAAGACGAAGATCAAGAAGAAAGATACAGTTACAATGGCGCCCGCCCAAAAATTACAGTTACTTGCAAGATTAGGGGCGCCAACTAATCAGAGCTCCGTTGCAGCCGCAAAAAAGAAGCGCGCAAGAAGGACGACGCGCGACAAAAGAAATCCCAAATTCCTAAATTCCTAAATTCCTAAATTCCTAGCTAATGCAAAAAGAAGCACAAATTCCGAAAAGAAAATCCAAAGTTCTGCGAGCCATCGAGGTTCGACAAGATTTGAAAAAGAAATTTAAAAAGAACGAAGCAAAATTCCCGCGCGACCTCCGCGCCTAAAACCCGAGAGCAGAACAAGAAAGAATCGATGTCAAACATTATTACTCGCGCCTTTGTCGACGCGACAGCCAGTCAATCGGCCCTCTCGGAACTTGCCCGGCCCTAAACCCAGCCATCCAAAAAGAAGCGACGAAAGAGAAAAGACGAAAAAGCGAGGACACTAATGCAATTTCCCTTCGATCCCGATCTCCCGTAATTGGCCCAACCTTCTCATCTTAGGACCCCTCATTGTCATCGCGCAGAAAATCGCGCGGACCAGAAATTGGTTCGTCACACACTTGCCTGGCCGGGCCAAAATGATATAAAGGAAGAGAGAACAGTGACAGGGGGGCAGCGTGAAAAACGTGCGCTAACGATGAAGCGACGATAGCGGCGGTGGCGGCGCCCGGTCGTCGGCTGCGGCTGAGTAGGACGCAACGTCTGTGTGAGAGCTACGGCGACAGTGCCCTGGTGTAGCCTAGCCCTTGAGTGGGTTAGGGAGTGCCTTTGCACTCTTACGCCAAGGCATCCTGGCAGCTCCGCACCTGACCTCCATATCAACCTTCATACCTAACAGGATCTCGACACCAGAGGAGTCATCCTCCCCTCAAGCCTTTTGCTGGAAAGGTGGGGCTCCTTTCTCACCATCCAAAGGCCGTGTGCTGTACTTTCATGACAAGCCATCTCTACTGCCTCGATCACTAGGAAAAGCATGGAAGGCGGAGCGGCGCATCTGAATGCAGTGGGAGAGCGTGCGGCTGCGGTGGCAGCACTTCGACATGTCCAAGGGCTTCAGCAAGTCTCGTTTGACCTATCTACAACACAACGCAGTCTGACAGGAGGGAATAAAGCGCCCTGCGTCACGGCACTAGCAGGAATGGCGTTGTGATGTATCCAGATATGTTTTAAACTTTAGTAATTTTGTAAGTCTTCTTCTGCACGTCTTGTTTGCACGTAGGCACAGTTTAGGTTAGTTTCGGTAATTCAGCAGGCCATTTGCGCGCACATCTAGTCGAGTGATTGCCTCAGAATGCCAAGGTACTCGAATGAAAC